TATCCGGTGGATTATCCACCTAAACAGCATTCAGTGCAGCATGACCGGACCAGCATCACTGCATCACACTCATGGAACCAATTATGTGGCAGGTCATGAGATATCAAACTCTTCCACCAGGCATGTGCACTTCATGCATGCTGCATGCACTGAACCGCGGCATTGCACACAGATCGATTGAGTCGCGTCAAGTCAAGACACGTCAACACGATATTCTGATGGAAATCTCCAATTCCGAATAAAGTCCGTGATCGGATCTAAGGGTTGTGCATCTGATGCCTTGGATTTACGAGATTGACTCAATAAAATATGACAACGACCATATAATATAACTGTATAAGTAACTTAACCAGGCATCACTTAGCTGACAAGTTGTCGAGGGTCAGAGTCAACCTGATCCGGCGGGTCCGGCTGGTTGGATGCCATGTCTGATCCAAGACCTCCGGGCTAATCACAGTTGATTGCATCGCATGCCGCACGCAGCAGACGCATGACGGACGCATATCTGCATGCTTCATGCCTCTTAAGTTGTCTACATGATGCATGATTCATGATATACAAGAGTCTATAAACAGAAGCCGTCTACATGACAAAGGAAGGACCATCTCAAGGGATCGGCAAGTCAAGCTGTGCAGTTCCTACGGGCCGTACTGAGGCCGTACTGAGCCGCACTGGTTTTCCTCTTCATCTGCAAGTCAGGGCAATCTGATTTGATCTTGTAATGGCACGCACACCGAAACCCAGCTCTCACCATCATCTTCTGTGCGGCGGTGCTGACGTGTCGATTCGATCGAGGTTGCACCAGTCGCACTGGCTTGGGTGGCCGGCGCGCTGTAAACTCACTTTGTGGATATTGCATGTATGCGACAAAGTGGGGTACGTGCGTCCAGGATTGTAAACTGATGTCATGTATCACCTGCCAACTCAGAGCTTGACGCTGATAATAGCCCAAGTACTGCAGAAACAGCGGAACTTGTATCAGCGGATGTTGCTGTGACACGTACATCTGTATTTCGATAGCATCGAATGCATGGTGACCAGCTGCAAGCAGATACTGATGACGTATACCAGCAGCGTGTAGTCCTCTGGAGATCGCATCGCGCGACTCATCTGAATCGGTCGACAATGGCGGCCGCGTGTACCAATGGAAAATGGGCTCCCATGGAATAGGTTGTAGCAGCTCTGCGACCGGGGTGCCAGGATAAATCTTTAATTCCATGTTTGCGACAGCTCTACATCTACAGATACGTAGCAGCTACGCTTGTCAGTCTTGTCAGTCCTGTCAGTGTCATTGAGTCATTGATCACTCTCTGACTGACGCATGACTCAGCATAAATCAAAATAAGTCCAGTGCTCATGTCAGGCTAATTCAGAAATTCATGTTAGGCATGGCAGTTTACCGATTTGCACTGACTGACAGGACTGACACAGGACTGACACTGGGTGACACTGATCAATTTTGTTTCCTCTCGTGATCCATCTGAGATCATGACTCGATACCACAGTTACGGCAGTTACGAATGGTCAGCTGGACGGTGGCTGTGGATTGGAGCAGGGTCTAAGGGCCTAAGGACTAAGGACCTAAGGACTCCCTGCCTGTGGGTTCGTCAGCACCAGCGGCAGTACGGTCGGCTGCACAAATCCTGATCTTAGGGGAGTCGGGAGTCGTTGGATGTCGTGATCGTGACTCGCCGATGCATGACATGATCGTTACACCCTTCCATGGTGTTGGCTCGTGTAACTGCACGTTAATACTTGGGAAGCCTTCGGAAGGCTTAAGACTACGGACCGCGGGCATGTAAGGCAGGTTTTCAGCACCGACCCTGGGTATGCACGAAGCATGTTCAGAACTAGATTTATGGTCATCCAGACTGCACTTTTAGATGAAGAACAGAAGCAATCCATCCATGTCAAGAATGGCCTCGTAGGTACCAAACGTCGTGTTTTCAACGCATCTAAAGTGCCTTAAATATGCATCTTGAATGATTCCAAGGATGTCCGTATGACGCACATAGCCGGTTCGACTACTGCTACTAGGCTATCTTTAGGCTAGCCCAGCCCAGAACAAGAGGTCTCATCATTGTCATGATGCGACACCGTCGTGGCAACTGCAATCAGGAATTAGCCTGCGGAACATGAGCACATCGGTTTTCTCAGGGCTTTCTTACGATGCCATAGAATCGTCCGATTCGGGTTCATCCTCCGACATATTGACCGGAGATGCCAAAAATCTTTGGTGAAGCATCGGGTAGGCGTGCTCAGAACGGAGTGAGGAAACAATGATAACCTTGGGCAGGTTGGGTTCACTTCTGAGAATCTTCAGAAACAAAACCGACAGCAAGACCAAGGATACCATGCCGGGTTACGCTCAGCAAACAGGCCCCGATGACAGGAACCGACATAGCATTCCCGGCGATGGATTGCAAAAGCTTTCCTGGCCCCTGTAGCGAAAAATCCATATCGCTCACAGGGAAAGCATGCCTGCCGGACTGCAATCGTTGCATGACTGTCTGGAGGTGTGACAGACTGACTCACACATGCACGCACGCTTTGCTCTCAGGGCAGGGCGACGCCAACAAGTGCACTGGATTCAACAGCATTTCACGCCCAAAGCAATAGATGTTGCTGTTCCGTGTCAGCCTGATCCGGATCACGTCTGTAGAAAGGCAGTCAAGGCTCAACCACTAACTAGCCTCTCAAGTACTAGTGCAGCACAAGCGGCGTTGGCATCAGGCCATCCAATCGATAGCAGGAGCGACTCATGCTTTTTGAGAGATCAACCGAACAATCCACAAGCTTCTCGCGCCGCGCTGCAGCCTAAGCCGGCCAGGAAATTGAAACGACACCGGTATGCTGAGGCCCCTATGCCTATAACTGCCTACTGTAACTCTATGTCTCTAACGTCTAGTCTATCACTATCACGGTCTTTGACTCTATAGATAATTCAATGTCTGTAGTCTATTCTAATTTCTAATTTCTAATAGTTTATATGACTAGACTAGAACTACTACAACGTCTATGTCGCCTCCTATAACTATACTATAACTTTAACTTGAACCGTCTATACCACGACCAAGCTTTCCTTTCCGAAATTACCATCAGGCATGATGAGGCATCAAGGGCACATTGGGACAGGAGCCGTTGCACTCAGACTGACCCTGCTTTTAAAATACGTGACAAACTCACGACAAGACACATCTGTCTGATCTGCACCCAATTCATGATAGAGACAGTCCAGCTGCTCCAGCTCGCGGTCGCTCATACCGATGGCCCAGTCTGCTCCGTGCGTGGCACGGCAGTATGCAGAATACCTGGTTCCATCGGAGTTATCAAGCGGAAGAACAACGACAGTCTAATACTGTAGTACTACTGTGTCGTATTGTATCACTGACTGTATCACTGTATCAATACGAGAAAAAATAAAATCCTACCATACATATATCATATATTATATAATTGTATACAGTGATACAGTGATACAGTCAGTGATACAATACGACACAGTAGTATATGATATGATATGATATAAATTAATTTGATATAACTAGATTTATATACAGAGGATTTAGATTTAGTGGATTGTGTGACTACGACAGCACATTCGTTATAAAGGAATCAGAATCAGAACCGTCTTCATGACACGAGGCTCTCGGTAGACATCATCACCACCGGAGGGATCGAAGCCCAAGTCTGATCGTCGCTCATCCAAGTCTGCTCGGGTTCTGGACGCAGGTTTTGCACACTCGTACCTCAAGCTCAGTTATCGACTATCGATGCTATCACGGTATCCGGTATCCTGTATCCTGTATCCTACTGTATCTTCGATATCACGGGAATCGTCGGTGTTGTGGCGTGGCAAAATCACTGCATATGGTAATTGATTTAGTTGTATTAATACCGTAGTTATATTACTTATTGAATTATTTTTATTGTTGTTATCGTGTCATGATGTCTGCAACGAATCCGATGTCTAGTCTCCCTCAGTGAATGAGAATCATTTCGAATGACCTCTGTAAAACCTCAGTGTCGAAAGCTGCACAACATCATTTCTTGCTCGCAAACTGTGTCCTCATGCCGCAGCTGGATCAGCTGTGACTGCTGAGGTTTTTGAGCTATGCTCTCTGCTTTTGCACTCGACCTGCTGGACTGCACACCGCGGCACGAAAACAAACCGATTCTTCATGACTTTTCCGTATACAACGACAGGTAGATGACGCTAGACGCTTGATGTTCCATATTCTTTAGATGTCCAGGGCTTGCGAGTGCCAACTCGAAAACAGCTGCCATGAGAAGGGTGTGCTGAGAGAAGGGTGTAGTGTACAGGGAACGTAGATGCCAGAAGGCACCTGGTGCACGAACCATGCTGTGGCGCAGGTGGACTGTACTACACCTGCCTAAGTAAGATACGTTCAGCAAGATCGCGAAATGGATCATGGATTCGGGGATTCGTACGATCCGCTTGGTTCCCATGTGCTGGCTCACTTCTTGCCGGCCGTGCTGTTCCGCTTGCCACGCCCAGCATTTTCCGGGCCCGGTGTTGCATGAGCCGCAAACTTGAGATCCTGCTGAGCGAAGGGCAATAACGAATTATTTCTACAGCTACAGTAGCCTAACCGACTTAACTCAACCCCAAAACCCTAGAAACCTAAACGAAAACAACAATGGAAGCACAACGAGGACAGCTGTTAGGACTGTGACACACTCCTAGTATTTTGGAGCGTAAAATAACACGAAAGCCCTGCTAACTGACTGCTAGCTGCTAATTACTGACCTAAACTTAAACTTATATTATATTATATATTGATACTGAAACGACATTAAACGACTCAAACCACGAAGCAACACTGCTACTACTTTACTTCTAGCTACTATGGCTACTGCTACCAACTGCCAGTACTACTAACTACTACTAACTACTAACTTACTAACTACTATATGACTATATGACCTATTTATTTCATGCCTATATAATATAGGCATGAAATAAATAGGTCATATAATCATATATAATTATATAAATATAAACCTATATAACACATATATATACTACCAACTACTTTTATCTTACCTGTGGCCACTGCTAACTGCGGTTGACTCCCGTTCTGTCTGGCCTTCTGCAACTTCTCCAGCATGGCAAGAGCCTTGCCTGGCTGGTCCTTGCGCGAAAGCAGCAACTGCGTGCTCGCGAACTTGAGGAATGTGCTCACTTCCTTGCCGAGCTTAAGCGGCTCTGCACGGCTCTGCGTAAAGAGCTCAAGCGCCATAAAAGCAAACGCGACACCCATCATTTCCGAACATGACGGTGTCTCTTTGTGCGCAGCGATCATGGCTTTCAGGGTCTCGGCCGGGATCACATCCTTCATGTCCAACTCCCGGTTCACGTAGCACAGCAAAACGTGCTCAGTGTCACGGACAGCTCTTGCACCTGCAGACGACACACCATAGCACAAGTAGGTTTGCTGGAGACTTGTATTATATGATATAGTAAATCGATACACCCTATTTATGTTTACTAACTTTTTGTTTTATGTATTTCTTTTAACTTTTCCTATGTCTGGGTGGAATCGCAATCATCGTGTCGCCATGGTCATCCTCAGTTAACACGTTACCTATCACTTGAAAACAAACGGACATTAACACACACTGTAATTGTGAGCCGTGGCTGCAAGATCATTTCATCCCATGTCCTCATCATACAAAAGGGAAACATACAAACAAGGCACCTTGCACCGCGCTTTCCAAGGTGTCGGACAGGTCATTGTACTTCTCGAGCAGGTCCGTCAAGTCCTTTGGAACATCCTCGGGCTTCAATTTGGCAATGTCCACACCCTCCAAGAACGGAAGGACGACCTTGATTTCATTGTACACCGGCTTCAGCGCCTGCTTGCCGGCGTTGGCCTTGTTTACCACCTGAAGGATGGAAGCACAAACCTTGTCTGTGAGGCCCTGCACGGCAGCCTCCAATCCATCAAAGGCCTGCTCCTTGTACTCACGATGGAAGGCTGTCACGTCGCACCATGCCGTCATGCCTTCCACAGCCAAACTCGTGGTCGTCCAAGCCTCGGTCGTGTAGATACCGTGATTGATGGACTCAGCGGGTGCACTGAAGTCCTTCACACGTTGCACACCACGGATGATCTTCTCCACCTGCGGTCCAAGTCGTGCCTTTGCACTGGAGTCCAGTGCCATCACCGGCGTGTGCTTGCCCGCATGGATGAGGGACCACATCCAGGCGGCGGTTTCTGGGACGTTCACGGAAGCCGCCTTGGAAATGGCTTTCTTCAACGTCACGACATGCTCGCTGAAGTCGTGTCCTTCCAGGACTCTGCAGGACAGACTGGAACTGAGCGATATGTGATATGATATGTGACAATAAAAATAAGTTCGTATTATAAAATAAAAATAATAAGTGATAAGTGATCAGTGATAAATTAAATGATAAATGATAAGTGATAAGATAAGTGATAAGTGATCTGTGATAGTGATAGGTTGATAAGTTGATAAGTGATAAGTGATAAATGATAAGTGTTAAGATAAGACGATCAAACTGATTGATAACCTGATGGACAGACTGAGAGCACACTAACTTACTAACTGACCGTGATTTGTCACAAGCCACAAGCTAGAGTCATGGTAGACGGCAGAGTTGATAAGAGAATTCTAGGTAGCTGTATAGTTATGGGCCAGCGGTTTCGGGCTTTAGGGTTTCGGATCTCGGCACATGCCCAATAGTCCCAACCACGGATTAAGCTGAGTTCGGAATGCCTGTCGAATCCATGAACTCAACTATCGTCTTCACGTCTCTGCTGGCGCTAAACTTCTGCACTGCCGTGGCCGTCTTCATGAATTTGTCTGCGTCGACACCTTTCTGCAGAACAGCTACACTCTGGGCGACCGATTGGCCGTCTTCCAAAGCTTTGACAAATGCATCTGCCAAGTTCTCGCGAATGTGTGCCCAGCCCGCAACCTGCCGGTCGTTGCAAGCAGCTGATTCAACAATTGTTCAAGCATATCAAGGGTTCCATGTACAATGACCAATGAATACTGCTCCGTGATTAATCAGTAACCGGTGGTTATATCATCATTATACAGTTATACAGTTATACAACTACAACTACAATTGTTACATGTGGCCTACAGTGTACTGCTTTACTTCATGATTCATAACTGTATAATTATCGAGACCCTCACGTAAACACTAAACCCCAAACCCTTACAGAATACAGAATACAGTATACCGTACCGTATACCACCGTATACCGTATACCGCATACCGCATATCTTACCGTATAAGTATAACGTATAACTTATAACTTATAACTTATAACTTATAACTTACCGTGTGCAATTCAATATCTTGATTTGATTGACCCAGTTTATGGGTTGCGCATTATGAACAAAACAGGAGAGATGTGTCATGCTACGAAATGGATACATCATTCATTCGACCGTTCTTCCATAAAAAGCATGCAGCATACCATACACGTGCTGTAGAAGAGCAGCAGAACTTAGCTCACGAACTGCAGCTGTGCGCCTTGCAGACTTTGGCCAACTTCCAGATGCCCTTGAAGGTTCCGGGGGGAGCGGAGTTTGTGGCATTTGCTTCTTCTCCCGCTCCCACATTCACAATCAAGCTGGACTCCACAAGCGCCAGAGCCGCTGGAACTTGCTGTACGATGTCTGCGGTCGCTGCTGACACCAGTGTCCTCAGCTTCTGTGCCGCGGGGTCCGTAACATCGATGGTGTTGATCAGGGACTGCATGTCCTCGTTGCATTTGATGGCTTGCAGCAACCTGTCCACGGACTCCGGGCGGTTGCAAAACCGAACGAAGGCTGCCACCTCTGAAATCTTTCCATCGGTCACATCATCTGGGAACTCGGATACGCAATTCCGAATGTCCTCAACCAAGCCTGCCTGTGTGCGACTGCGCTTGGCCCCCGCTGTCATAGACATCCAAAGCTTCCTGGGCGGTGGAAGCTAGGTATCATCTAATCTACGATGGCAGTAGTAGTAGTAGTAACTGTCATCACATCTCCAAACACCTATGTAACTTCTTTAACATTCGTTCTTACCAAAGCGTCTTATGACTTCGCGTCCTATAGTCAGTCTAGCTTATAAACTATACCTTATCATACACTTATAATTACATTTATTTAATCAAATTTAATTAATAATTATAAAGACTGGATCAATGTCCGAGACACTTCGTGTGACCCACGCGCAAGTAAGTTTGCAGCTTCTCACTGAGCCGCGACTGCAGGCCTACCGCATTCTTGGCATTGAGGCACTCCAACGGCGTACCGCTTGATCCATCCTGCTGTGTCATTTGAAGACCAGATGAATGAGTTAATCAGGTTTGTGTTTTATAGCATTCAAACAGCTCACAGGCCAACATGATCATAGGCTGGTTTACCCCTGGATCAACACGCTGATGCAGAATACTGAGGCAAGGCTATGTCGGCCCTACGACTATTCTGCAATTCTGACTCTACACAAACCCTGACTCTAGAGACAGAGTAACTTACCAAGCCACAGGTCCTCACCGTAATTGCCGAGCATGGTCCGCACCATCTGCACCTCGAACAAGACGGTAGGTCCATATAGGTCTCTTTCGTTCATCTGGCCATGGAAGAAGTCGTCATTGACTGCGCCCAGATCCAGGGCAGGTACCGCAGACCTGACAGTATACAATATTAATATAAATAAATTCTAGTTAAACATTTATAATATTTATAATTTAGAACTTTCGAACTTATGATTCTTATGATCTATAGCCTATAGCCTATAGCCTATAGCCGACTATAATGTACATTAGGTATAAATAAATAGGTAAATTAAGTACTTAGATGAATTCTAGTGTTATACATTTATAAATTTATAATAGTTTATAAATATATTATAAATAGTCACAGTATAGTCATATGTCTATATTAATATTAATTATATAAAACTACACTGTATAACTTCCTATTGAATTAGATGAATAATATTTGTACTCTGTTACCTAGCCCCTAATAATACAATAATACAATAGAGTAATATAACATAAAATAACATAACTTTAATATTGGAACTAAACCAGTACATGTATAGTATTGTTATATTATAATTATATATTTATATAAATATAAACTAAGACTCATGACTCAGGACTCATAACTCATAGACTCATAAGACCTCATAACTCATAACTCATAACTCATAACTTACAACTCTCTTGTAATATGTAAAAACATTGAGCACCAAGCCGGCTGAAGATTTTCAGTACCAGTCTAAACAGTGTAAGTCTAAATGTCTAAATGTTCTAGTTCTAGTTCTAACTTCGAAACCAAGGTTGAAGTTGAAGTATGTAAGCCCCCAATGCAGCCCGAAAACATACAGGCCATCAGCGCACGCATCTTGTTCGCGTCCTTCAAGCGCAGCACCTTGTCCCACCACGTCGTCATGATCTGACTTTGAAGTTGCACGGCCATGGCTTCCGAAGTGGTCACCTCAGCCTTGGCAAGAACATCCTTGTAGATCTGCAAGCTGAAGAACCGATCGGTGGTATCCGTCTTGCCAAGGCCGACCATCTTGAGGAACAGCTCTGCCCGCTTCTTTTCCTACGTGAATGCAAGAATTCTGAGAATTCGCTGCTACCTACCAAACTCTCTCTCCCTCGCTTTCACTCGAGATAAGGCTACCGAATACCAATAGCCAATAACTAATAACTCAGCGGATCCTCGTCAGCAGTGACCTTCGGCCCTGCCGTGTGCAACTGCTTGGCGATCGCTAGGTAGATCTCGGAAAGGAGCGAAGCGTCCACTTTCTTCAGCGTGATCAGGTCGTCCTCCTGCAAGCCCGCCTGGAGCCAATCGATAGACTTCTGCATGGCGTTGAACAGAAAGTTCTTCTTCTTTGCGCCGTCCATGAAAGCCAGTGCCTCCTCCGGTGTCAAACCCATTCAGATCCAACTAACAGTCATTGTCATAGTCTGTACTATAATAGAATTATTTCATCCAAATCATAATCATAGGAACCATAGGAGTCATAGATTGTAATACCTGCAGACATCTATCGTCTATCGTCCATCTACATGATTCTCACTTCTCACATACTCGTGAATCGGTGAATCACGACTACACTGTCTTCATGTCTGAGTTTTTTTTTGCAGTCTATGCCTAGCACATTACAGTAGAAGTTCGAAGAAGTAGTGCAGGTAGTAGAAGTAGAAGCAGAAGTCGTAGTAGCAGTAGCAGTAGTAGTATTGGTAGTGGTAGTGGTAGTGGTGGTGGTAGTGGTAGTGGGAGTGGTAGAGGTAGTAGTAGTAGTAGTAGTAGTAGTAGTAGTAGCAGCAGCGGCAGTAGTAGTCGTAATAGTTGTGGTAATAGAAGTAGGAGTCACGAGTAGCAGTAGCAGTAGCCGTAGTAGTAGTAGTAGTAGTAGTAGTAGTAGTAGTAGTAGTAGTAGTAGAGTAGTTACTAATAATTAGTTATTCAGTTATTCAGAATTCATGTTAATGAAACCACCAGGGCACACGGCACTTACTGAACCCACAGACCCAAAACCATAGTTTTGGGGTGTCTACTACGGGAATCTCTGTTTGGGGTGGTCTTCGATAGCTCTATGGACCAAGCTGGATCATGCTACTTACAAACTTACGAGTTTAGTTACAAGATACAACTTTACAAACCTTGACTTTAACTTACTTGCTATGACTATGACTATGACTCAGACTATGACTCTATGACTATGACTATGACTATGACTAACAACTTGCAACTACTTCAACCAGTACTCTCCGACACCTACTGATCCATTATTATTCCCACAGTCCTCCATGAGAACTGCATCCGGAGTCTCATCGGTAGCCAAGACCTTGTCGATCAAGGCTTCCAAGTTATTGCCCATCTTCTCAACCGCTTTGTCCTTCACGCGCGTCTCCCACAAAACCCGGTCTGCAAAGGCTGCACGATCCTTCTCCAGCTGCTTGAATAGCAGCTCTTGCGGCGGGACAGCTGCATCTGCACCCTTCTTGCCCGGATTCTTGCTCGCATCTGCGCCCTTCTTGCTCCCGCGTCCACCGCCCTTTCCACCTCTACCGCGACCGCCGCCGCGGCCACGTGTGGCACTCGGCACTTCGACCGGACTCGGAACTCCAAACAGATCCAGGTCCGGCTTATCACGCTGGCTGGCGTTGGCCATGTCATCATCTGTGCCTTGACCGGGGTTCTCAGCAAGGTCATTGTCATCGTCCTTCTCCAGAAGATCTGTCAGGGTCTGGCTTGGAGGGCGCTTGAGTGCAGGCTTGCGGGGAGAGGACCCCAAGAGTGATCGTGACTTCTTGGAGGGAGGGCCGGGAGGGCTGCCATGCCCATAGCGTGTGAAGCCCATGTTATCGTCGTCGTACTCGTCCTCAGATCCGGCTGGGACTTCGGACTCCGCGTCCCCACGGTCTCGGGCATAGTATCCTGCAATCTGGGCGTTGGAGTAGCTCGCTGTCTGTCCACGCAAGCGGTCATGTGTATCACGCAAGTCCCGCGTGAACGCACGGCCCGATGAGGACGCCGCAGCCCCGGTGTCGTGCATAGTTTCCTGGCAGGGAAACCGAGTCTCTCTTAGTAATTTAGTAATTAGTAAATTAGTAGTAGTAATGTAATTGGCAATGCGACCCCAACGCGCCTTAGCTCAAGTTCTACTGTCCTACAAAGATCGTCACCCTCCATGATCTGATCTGATCTACTGTGCAACTAGACACCATCTTATAAACAAGTGAGTCAGTGACCTAGACTCTCGACGCATACAGAGCCAGAGACGTATCTCATTATTAGTAGATAAGTTTAGGGTTTGGAGTTCAGGCTTTAGGATTGATGGTTTTTAGGGGTTTTAGACGATGATATTGATATTGATATCATCATTGTCGTTGATCATGATTGATAACTACTCAACTCTGATAACTTGATCACATGCCATAATAACGTACTTTTGTGGCTTCGTGTATCCTTAAGGTGCTATGCTGTGACTCGCCTTCTTCTTGCCTCCAGCTTGCCGTGTTCCCATCCTGATTTTCCGCTTGCCATCCATCATTGGCACCAAAGCCACATCTCCTTGAAAGATGACCTTCATGTTCAAATCCTGCAGGCAACGCCGGAACTGGTCGGTAGTGCTAGCGGTAGTAGGGAAGAAGCAAGTTAGTACTTAGTATTTAGTATTTAGTACTTAGTAATAGTAATAGGATAGGTTATTAATACGTATCAGGTACAGTATCAGTATCAGTATAAGTGCTGTATACAAGTTGTATAAGTTAACTTCGCAGGCATAGGAGTAGGAGCATAATAATAATAATAATATCAATATCTATAATGACAATAATAACCCAAGAACTTCATGAAAAAAAAACTAGTACCGAGTAACTAGTAACAGTAACTATTACAGACAATGACAAGGGTGCGCATTCAGCCAGCAGCCAGCACTGCTACATGCACTAAGTCACCAAGTACCAATAGCCTACTCGCATAATAATAGATAATAAAATAATAATAAATAATAAATAATAACAGCGGTGGCAGTATCTGTCCTGCTCTATGAACTTCCGCATCATGTACTCATTCTCGAAACTGTCGGGGTCGAAGCCGCGATCCTTGAGGAACTCGGGCATCGTCATGGCAACGCCTTCCTCGTAAATGTCTGCGTAGGTCTCCTCGGAACGGAAAGCCGTCAGGTCGATCTTCTCGTAGGAACGCCTGCCTGGGACACTGTTCTCCGCACGCTTCTCCTCCCACTTGGCATTCACGGCGATATTCTTTTTCTTGAGATCGTTCAGCTGGCGCTGCGTCAAGGACACAAAGTTACCGGTTCGGGTGACCTGCCGGCAGCAGCGTAACTCCACTAAGACACAGACAATAATTGACTCTGACTCTGCCCTTGAAAACCAAGCTTACCAAAAGTCGAAGCAGTCTGTTTAAGACCTAGCCATAAAAGATAATCCCCAAGATGGCTCAGGACTCATGACTCATAACTCATCATCATAACATAACATAACCATAACTCATTACCCAAAACTCAGACTCTCATAACTCAGACTCAGAACTACTCAGACTACCCAAGTCTCACTACTCAGGACTATACAATGACCACAGACTAGACTACAACTAGGCTATGGCTATGGACTATGACTCGACTATGACTATAATATAATTGTCGCTTCCCTTGGCCCATAGGCCCATAACCCAGAACTCCGTCCATTATTTATGACTTAAACTTAAACTACGATAGCCTAGCCTATAGCCTACAGCCCACGAGCCCATTATATACATCTTGCATTCAACATAACATCCTACGACTGTTGAGTTCACTGTCAAGCCACGACATCGACATCGAGTGCCGCCAAACCAGCACCGGGCAATTAGCTGTCAGCCCTTTCTTATCATAACACCCGCACCTTGCAGCACTTGCACTCATTGCCCTCGGGCACATTCCGCTCACCGGTGGCCTGTGCGAAGCACACATTGCCAATGAGTAGTTTAAGCTTAAGTTTAAGTATAATATATTAATTGTAGATAGCAATTGTAATTGTAATTTATACAGGTGTAAAGAATTATAAGTTATTTGTTATACATATACAGTAGTTATATAAGTTATATACTATATATATATATATAGATATATAGATAATAGATATATATATTCTTATATAGTTTTGATATACAATACATATTACATATAGTATAATCGCATACATAGAAATATTGAAATATATATTATATAATTATATAATATATATATATATATATATATATATATATATTTATTTGTATTATATAATAACAGTTGAAATATTGTATCATGTGTTGCATCGAGTTGTTATTTAATAATATAGCGGTGACACACGGCCTGGAATAAGAATAAGCCTGCAGCCTGACTAGAACTCTGACTACCGGACTGTCTGGGGAAATTGAATATCTGAATAACCGACTCCTACTGTATACTGTATACTGTATACTAATACTAATACTAACTAACAGAGGACTACCAAGAAACCAACTAACATGACGGCTGATCATTGAGAACGGCGAACTGAGTTGACAATGGAACTGAACACAGCTCAGTGATCCATTTCAACCATGCGGAACACGAACAGCTGAACAGCAAAGACAATGATCGATGATGACTTCAACTAGTGTAATAATTTTAAGTCAAGCTTGATGGAGCTGCACGGAGAACATTCTGAAACATTCTCATGTAATTGTGAACTCCCGACGAAAACAACACAGTGCAAGCTCCTGCCTTGTCCACACGGAACTTCGTCCAAGCCAGCTTCACCTCCGCACCCTCCGGACCGAAACGGTCGATGCTTCCGTACTCCTGGCCGCACGAAGAACACGTGGGACCACAGCCACCGCCAGAGGCCTCATGACCTTCGCGAGAACCAGTCGGCGTGCAAGCAAGACTCATTCCACCACCCAGCATCACTACAGAGGGACGCTAAGTCAAACAGAGAGATTGCGTGCAGGTATTGCACCGTGCTAGCACAGGCAAAAGGGTTGCTGCAGAACCGCAATGACCCAAAGAACGTGCCATGCCTGCCAACGTCACTGCCATGTCCGATCGCAACTGCACACGCGGCAGGTGTCACGCTGTTTTGCAAGATTTACAAAAGCCTAACGTCTCAGGCAACATCCAAGCGCAGCATCTCTATAATAACGACTCCTCCTATCTAGGATTCTGGATTCTCTGATGCCGGATGAATAAAAAAAAAAAAAAAAGCGCTGCTGTACGCTTCCCAATGAGATCTGTGATTCTATGATTAAGGACCGTATCCATACAGGTGCCAAAGGGCGCCAGCACCTGTGGCTGATCTTGCCGCGGACCCACACAAAACTTCGACTGTGCTGCCCCCAGCCAGACAGTCACTCAAGTAACTGAGGCACATAGTAATTCAGAGGTAACCATCATCCACACAAACAGATGAAATGTAGTTACAGCATCAGGCCGCATTGTCAATGTACTATAGCCTAGCCAGTACAACCAAGTTAGTTATAAGTTATAAGTTATAAGTGATAAGTTGTAAGTTGTAAGTTATAAGTTATAATCTGTATACAGTCTACAGTATACAGTACCCAGTGTAATACACAGCAGTATACAGTATACAGTATTACAGTATACAGGTAGTCGGTAGTATAATAGTATACATAAATCTAGAAGCTCAGAGACAAGCACTACACAAACCATCTACCTGGGTGGCTTCAGTCGACGACACTCGAAGCCAGCGACGCAGTGAGAGCTGTTGGGTAGCGAAGCAACGTGCTCTGCTGCAGGAGACAATCAGTCGACTCTACTCTATCGACTGTGTCACTCCATCCAACACTTTAGATTTAACTTAACCTCTAGCCCACCCTGACCCTAACTAACTTGCTAACTTTTTCTATCACTATACTACTATGTCGTCTCAGTCTCTAATACCTAATACCTAGCCTATGACTATGACTATGACTATAATTTGACTGACCAGGCTTGCAGTGCCTGCTACGACATAGCCACATTAGGACTCCGGACATTGCTCGCTCCACTCATCACTCGTCTGGCTAGGAATGCCTTCGTTCTCGATCATTACCTGGCTAGCCGCACTCTCAGACTCAGAAGCTACCCCAGGCTTGGCCGCAGCAGCCATCATCTCCACGCGGCCAAAAACGAAGTCGTCGATCATACGCGGACCCTCCTTCGCGACCATGACTGGCTCAGCAGGCTTCTGCTGCCGACCCTGCAAAGGCCACACTGGCAAGCTGAACGTCTCATCCAAGCCCACGCCGTCCAACATTGAACTGGACTTGCGAGCCTTCTTCTTTGGTGCTCCCGGGGTAATCAACGATGCATCTGGACTGCCCACTTTCTTCCGATTCTCTGGTGTGACAAAGCTCTTGGCCTTTGCCTCGGGACTGGAACCGCTCTGCCAAATCTTGGAAATCATCTTCTTGCCAGGCTGCAGGCTGGGATTCTTCGCCGCAACAGAAGGTTTTGGTTTAGGTGCTCGGGCGGAAGCCATGTGTTCGAGAGGGAAACTAGAAAGGGCAGGCTGTTGGCACCACTTCTACGAAATCAACTCAATCAAGCAGGGGCCACGGGCGTGTCAGATCTGCAGCAACGCAGGAACCGACGATGACGCTAACGCGTGGACAGCAACTCGTGATCTTCTTTTGTCCTGAGCCAATACTTAGCTCAGCTGTTTGTTTATCTTACTGATGCATGCACGGTCAGGCATGAATTTCACTGACACTCGGAGACCCTGTGTCGAAGACTGCATAGTTCGAGATCGCATTCCTGACATTAACCTAAACGCTTGATACATTCAGAATAAGAATCAACTAAAGATCTGAAGAATAAAAATTATACTATAATTAGACTATATTAACAACAGTGGAAATCGTGCAGGGATGGAGAACCATGGAGATGATGTATGAGTTAACTTTAACGTTCATTAATTAATTGTGTTAACTCATCTTATATAAATATAATATAATATTGATATAAAAATAAATATCATACAAAAATAATTTATACGACTTTATATAATAGGTTTAATATAACTTAAC